GAATTAGCCGACTACCCCAGCATCAAAGACGCTCTCACCAAGGCCCTGGGAATGATGCAGAGGGCTATGCGCGGTGTCGCGCCACAGGTGCGTCCCGATTGCTATTTTCCAGTGCTAGGCTGGTTCCCAGATTATAAACTAATGCACACCTGTCAGCGAGGCCAAAGGTGCCGCTTGCCGTGTTGTCTAGCGTTAAGCTGACAAAAAAGGTACTGAGTCACCTCTCGCCCCGTGATCAGTAAATTACCCTGTGTTTACAAGAATGCATCATCAAATACATTAAGGCCGGATAAGGGTGGTTTATAGGCCTTTACTTAGACGGCCGAACATGCTTAATGTGCAGACGGCTTTCGACCAGGCTCCTGTTGTGTTTTACGAAGATATCTTCACTGCTCTACCCCCATAGTGTACGACACACTTTTCGAATCCGATTACTTAGCTCTATAATATTAATGTTTTCTAGTTTATAAGGAATATTATGTTTCTTTTTTTTGGGGGGGGGGTTAATACCAACATTTTTACGTGCCGCCATCCTCGCTATGGGACTCAGGAGCCCTTCCGCTATCGGTCTTATCGGACTTCGCCTTCTGTTGCTTGCACACTAAGGTGTCGTTTTATGGACTTCCTGTTTGGTGAAGACTGAACCCATGTCGACTCCCTGTGCGGATCGAAGCCGTTGTCTACATGACTCTTAGCCTGTTTAAATTTAGTTCTTCGGCTAAGAGGCGTGGAGAACCATTTTTAAGGATACCCGTCAAGTGGCTATGAAGATTTTTAAGTAACCTGATAAGAAATATGCCAACGGAAAATTCGACTCCGATCCTGAGCGATATCACGCGTCATATCCGATTTAGGTCTTCATGTGGTTGCTTATCACATCGACGTCAGAAAGCCAACAAGCATTTAAAAGGTGTGTGTCGGCCTTGAAGATTTAGCAGGGATTATCATCAGAGGACTGCGTTTGGGCATCGCACAAGCATCTGTGGATTGGAAACTAACCATGGGATCTCGAATTTCCGAGAATCTGGAGTCTAACTGTACACCGGCAGGACACATTCACATGCTGATAAAGACTGTGCACTATGTCAAACTTTGCTCACCAGGCCTAGGGGACGTTCGTGCATTCCACCACTTCCCGGGGTATCAGCTCCCGATAGAGCATTCCAGTCCGCAAACTATTCGCATGCACCAGTGAACTAGCATCGCAGAGCCCCTCGGTTCCAATAGGCGCCACAGGGTAAATCTTAATAGCTTTTTCAGAGATCATGTGAGGTTTCCTGAGAATTTTGAATACAGGCAAATCTGAATAGTCACTCCGCTTGCTGGGGTTCAGCTAAGGCATCTAACCACAAGGCGGCAAGTGCAAGTGGACCTAGTTACTGACGGTCCACGGGCGTTACCGAGCCTTGTGGTATAGATCAGTCAGCTCCTTGCGACTTGGTTGCATTGCCGCCGTGTTTATGCGACTGCCGACCGTCACTGAGGGCTATTCCATTTTGGGTTGTTCGTGGACACGTTGTATTGTTGACAGTTAGGCTAACGGGTAGATGTATCTTCCCGAGTCAGCCCGGCTACCCCTACCCCTTATTGCTTACACCCATCTGCATATATATTGAAAATCACCAAACAGGTACAACTGTCAGTTTGGCAGTTCAAATCATCCCTTCAGCAGTTCTGCGACTCGACTTACTGCGCAATGTTTGGTAGGGTGCTTAAGATAATTTGGCCGAATGACTGGAATTTAAAATACAAGTGGCAGAAGAGTAATAGGTTAACAAATCGTCAACCATGGTTGGATGCTGTCTGGGTCAAAGGGTTTCGTCGCCTGGACCTACTTCCGTCTATCCTTTTTTTAAACTGCCAGAGGTTCAAC